TCTACTAGGAGTAAGGGAAGATGGAGGAAGGACAAGGGTAGCTGAGGGAAGATGAGGGCTTAAAGATCAATGTTTGAGAATGACAGCTGAAGAGACTAAGAGGGAGTTGATGCGTAAAAGGATTCCTTGGCAGTTCTGGGAGTCCAGTGAGTTGGCACCAGTCCCACACTGCACTACAGTAAAGACGTAGAAATGAAGAATGCAAATATTTCTGAGTGGGGATTGGTTCTTGGTGAGTAGGTATGACAAAAAAAGGATTAGGAAGAAAAGAAGTTGGAATCAAAGTGTTGAGAGAAGTAAAAAATCAATTTGTGGCGCTCAAGAAGTATAAATTAAGGAGGGGCTAAGTTACTAAAGTCAAGGTTCCGAGGTCATGTGAAGGTGAAGAACAAATATGAAATAAAGGAGTGACATCAAGAAGGGGAGAGGGTTTCGCAAGCTGTATAATTCAAAGTTGACAAGATTTCTCAGTAAATAGTCTGATCAATAAAATGGGAGTAAGTAATTCTTGTTGTACCTACCACAAAGAGTTCAAAAGTGAAATAATTTCTTGGTCGGAGGAGAAAGGGCCTCAAAATATAATGTGTAATCTAATGAGGTTGTGAATTACTCAGCTACTTCATGTATTTATTATTTACTTGATAGTGTAACTTTTACTTGAAAAACAATAAAAATGTATTCTCTAAAATGTTTATATTTCTGATAGTATACCAAATAGACCTGGTTTTCCCCATCATTTCCAAGAATTTATTTGTTCGACTCGTATTTACTGAGTACTTATGTGCCAGGCACTATATTGGATGCAGTATACATATTGCCAGACAAATAGACAGTTTCTCTCCTCAAGGCCCTTTCTTTCCAGTACCACAGTCAGCCTATAAATAAGGTTACAAGCAAAAATTTATAATTATAAATTATATATGAGAGTGTTGCAAGAGAATAAAGTAGAGGATTTATTTAAATTGGGTGGTTAGGGAAGATTTCTTGTGAAGTAATATTTAAGCTAAGACCTAAAGGATAAAAGCCAACCACGTGAAAAATTTCTAAACAGTGGCATGATGATTCTATGCTTAAGGACAGTGGTTAGACAGAAAAAGACGGCCCAGGTCCTAACCTGAAGAACTCCAACATCTAAAGTTTAGGCAGCTCTTTTTTGTGGCGCCTCGGAGGCAATCAGCCACTTCAGGATAAAGCGGAACATCTCTTTCCCAGCTACTGGCTGCCAGAAACTCATTGAAGTGAATGATGAACGAAAACTTCATACCTTTTATGAGAAGCGTATGGCCACAGAAGTTGCTGCTGACGCTCTGGGTGAAGAATGGAAGGGTTATGTGGTCCGAATCAGTGGTGGGAACGACAAACAAGGTTTCCCCATGAAGCAGGGTGTCTTGACCCATGGCCGAGTCCGCCTGCTACTGAGTAAGGGGCATTCCTGCTACAGACCAAGGAGGACTGGAGAAAGAAAGCATAAATCTGTACGGGGTTGCATTGTGAATGCAAGTCTGAGTGTTCTCAATTTGGTCATCGTAAAAAAAGGGGAGAAGGATATTCCTGACTCACTGACACTACTGTGCCTTGTCGCCAAAAGAGCTAGCAGAATCCGCAAACTTCTCAATCTCTCTAAAGATGATGTCCGACAGAGTGAAATAAGTCAGAAAGAGAAAAACAAATACTGTATGCTAATACATATATATGGAATCTAAAAAACAAACAAACAAATGGTCATGAAGAACCTAAGGGCAAGACGGGAATAAAGACGCAGACTTACTAGAGAATGGACTTGAGGATATGGGGATGGGGAAGGGTAAGTTGGGACAAAGTGAGAGAGTGGCATGGACATATATACACTACCAAATGTAAAACAGATAGCTGCTGGGAAGCAGCCGCATAGCACAGGGTGATCAGCTCGGTGCTTTGTGACCACCTAGAGGGGTGGGATAGGGAGGGTGGGAGGGAGGGAGACGCAAGAGGGAAGCGATATGGGGATATATGTATATGTATAACTGATTCACTTTGTTATAAAGCAGAAACTAACACACCATTGTAAAGCAATTATACTCCGATAAAGATGTTAAAAAAAATAAAGATGATGTCCGCCAGTATGTTGTGAGAAAGCCCCTAAACAAAGGTAAGAAACCTAGGACCAAAGCACCCAAGATTCACCATCTTGTTACCCCATGTGTTCTGCAACACAAATGTCAGCGTATTGCTCTGAAGAAACAGCGTACTAAGAAAAATAAGGAAGAGGCTGCAGAATATGCTAAACTTCTGGCAACAGAATAAAGAAGGCCAAAGAAAAACGCCAGGAACAGATTGCCAATAGACAGAGGCTGTCTTCTCTGAGAGCTTCTACTTCTAAGTCTGAGTCCAATAAAAAATGAGATGTTCTAAGCATAACAAATAAATAAGAAGAGACAAAAAAAAGTTCAGGCAGAAGAGAAGGAGTCAACAAAGGAATCTATACAGAAGCAGCAAGAGAGATAAGGAGGAGGAATCTATAAAATCTTCAAAAGCAAGAGAAAATAAACTGTTTTAAAGAGAAAAGAGTGGTCAATTGTATTGAATGATGCAAAGAAGCAGGACGTGGAAGAAAATAAGAACTTTAAAAGGTCTACTGGATTTAGCAAATAAAGGTATTTTGCAGCCTTGAATAAACTGGTTCAGTGAAAAGTGCTAAAGCCAGTCTAAATGGGTTGAAGAGTGCATAAAGAAAGGGGTAGGGAAAAGAGAACAGGGAAAGAAAAAAAGGAAGAGAAGGAAGAGAGAGATTTCACCATATGATAACTCTGGATAAAATAAAACACACAGGGCTTCCCTGGTGGCGCAGTGGTTGAGAGTCCGCCTGCCGATGCAGTGGACACGGGTTCATGCCCCGGTCCAGGAAGATCCCACATGCCGCAGAGTGGCTAGGCCCGTGAGCCTTGGCCGTTGAGCCTGTGCGTCTGGAGCCTGTGCTCCGCAACGGGAGAGGCCACAACAGTGAGAGGCCCGCATACCGGAAAAAAAAAAAAAAAAATCTACAAACAATACACGCCAGAGAGGGTGTGGAGAAAAGGGAACCCTCTTGCACCGTTGGTGGGAATGTACACTAATACAGCCACTATGAAGAACAGTATGGAGGTTCCTCAGAAAACTAAAAATGGAACTACTATACAACCCAGCAATCCCACTACTGGGCATATACCCTGAGAAAACCATAATTCAAAAAGAGCCATGTACCACAATGTTCACTGCAGCTCTATTTACAATAGCCAGGACATGGAAGCAACCTAAGTGTCCATAGACAGATGAATGGATAAAGAAGATGTGGCACATATACGATGGAATATTATTACTCAGCCATAAAAAGAAATGAAATTGAGTTATTTGTAGGGAGGTGGATGGACCTAGAGTCTGTCATACAGAGTGAAGTAAGTCAGAAAGAGAAAAACAAATACCGTGTGCTAACACATATATATGGAATCTAAAAAAAAAAAAAAAAGTTCTGAAGAACCCAGGGGCAGGACAGGAATAAAGACGCAGATGTAGAGAATGGACTTGAGGACATGGGGAGGGGGAAGGGTAAGCTGGGACAAAGTGAGAGAGTGACATGGACATATATACACTACCAAATGTAAAATAGATAGCTAGTGAGAAGCAGCTGCATAGCACAGGGAAATCAGCTTTGTGTGCACCTAGAGGCGTGGGATAGGGAGGGTGGGATAGGGAGGGTGGGATAGGGAGGGTGGGAGGGAGGGTGGGAGGGAGACGAAAGAGGGAGGAGATAAGGGGATGTATGTATATGTATAGCTGACTCACTTTGTTATACAGCAGAAACTAACACAGCATTGTAAAGCAATTATACTACAATAAAGATGTTAAAAAAAAGGACATGTATTTGCTATCATATATCATATTGCTTTAGCTTATCTTACAAGTTTTGATGTGTAGCATTTTTATCTTTCAGTCCAAAATATTTTCCAATTACCATTGTGATTTCTTCTTTTACTGACAGGTTACATGTAAAAATGTGCTTCTTAATTTTGAAACAGAGATTTTTAAAAATCTTTTAAAAAAATTGTTTTATGGCTTGGTAACTTGATTTCAGTTCTTTGAAATCTGTTGATACTTTGTTTATGACACAGAACATGGTAAAAATTTGTTTAAATAAATGTTTCATATATATTTGAAATTTGTCACTTTCAAAGTGATTGGGTGTATAGTTCTATATAATCATTAGGTGAAATTTGTTAAATGAGATGTTCCAGTCTTCCAAACATCCTTGTTGATTGTTTTCCTCTACTTTTATCAATTACTGAGAGGTATATTAAAATCTCCAACAACTGTGGTAGGTGTAACATTGCTCCTTGTAGTTCTGTCAGTTTTTGCATTATATATTTTTTTACGGTAGAACAGATTTTTAAAAATGAATCCCTTTTCTCTCTTCTCACCTTAAGTATCATGACCAAAATCAGCTTCTATATGATAATCTTCACTAATTCTCTTTCTTATCTTCAAATTTACCTATTTTATGGTAGAGAGTGGGCTTACTAAAACATCTTGAAAGGCATGCACCCTTGTCAGTCTTTTTGAAAGCTAACTTATAACATGTTTTAAGCTGCAGTTTTCTATAACTACCTGCTTAAAAAGGAAGATACTGAAGTTCTCAATTGTTTGTCATTCGTCAGACACCTCATCCATTAAAAAAGAAAAGGCTTATCAACAGGTATCAAGCTCTCAAAGGACTCACCAATTTTTACTGCTATTACTACCTAATGTATACCTGGCACTGCATTTTCAAACACTAATGCACTCTCCCCAACAGATAATAATACAAAGTGGTTATTATTATCTCTATAGTTTTTACAGAAGCAATAAATAAGAAAGTAACAGAAACCCGAGGTCTGAGACTAATCACCAGCAAAGGTCAAACAAATGTTGCTGTCAACAGATTCTTTTCACCAAAATGAATTCTTCTCAGTGTGAACACCCCACATGCAAGAATGGCTTCATTTAAGTACCTTGTACTTCTGTCTCAGTTCTTCCGTGTCTTCTTTTTCTACTTCTAGGACACGGCGCCGTTCGGTAGCATCTTCGGCATAATCAAGCTTAACAAAAACAGATATAATTAGTCTTAATTCCTAAAGTACCCCCAATTAGCCATAAAAAAGTCATTTACACAACTACAGTATTGTATGAAAATAAGAAACTTCTAACTTTTTGCTCAGCTACCTCTTGCTTTATTGTCACCCCACAGAGAAAATAGCATGCAAAATAGTTCATTAATCTTTTCATGCTGGTGGTTCCCAACAGGCACATGTGTTGATGATAACAGACTTTACTTCAATGTTCAATGCCAAAGAATTAGGAGTAAATGGAGAAAAATATTTCAGGCAATGAAAAGAAGATATCACAGATGACAGCTGTACACAGCTCTACAGGGGCAAAGCTTCTACCACAGCAATTACTTTAAGAGTTGAGCAACACTGCCTATGGAAATGAGCACCGGGGTCTGGGTTTAAATCTGACCTTGCCTTGTGGCATCACCCTCGGGAAACCACTCAACTTCTTTATAACAGGGGCATTATTTGCCACCTACCTGCCTCAAAGGCAGCACTAAATGAGAATGTAAAATACATTTTAAAATTTCCCCTCAAAAACATTAAAACTACATCTGAATTTGGAATTAGTATCAATTTTAAATATCCCAAAAACAAGTGAACCAATGAGATCAACTTACCTCCATTTCCATGCGACCCATGCCCATGACATCATACTTGACAACGATTGGAATGGGATCTGTTCTCCCTGTAACAGGAACATATAATTAAGGTTAGATGCAAAGCTAAGTCAACAGTTCGCTTTACACATTGGGTTTGGGTGGTTAGAGATCTTGCCTTGGAGTGCAGAGACCAGAAAGCTACAGTGAACCAAACACAAGCCATTCTCACAGCTTACAACCAAACCTACCTCTCCCAGTTCAAGCCCAACTAACCACCTTGGTTGACCTTCCAGTTGGGGATGATTCCAGATTACTATGGCAAAATTAAATAAGTAATGCAAAAGCACTTCTAAGCAATGGCACCAGGAAGTTTAAAATCAAAAACATTAGAAATTCCTTTTTAAAAATACCTCCAAATAACTTTCCACCAAAAATCACTTCACTCTTACTGTCCACTGACATCTTCCCACACACACTTTTAAAACTGGTAATAAATATCTCAACTGACATGTTTAAATCGGAAGAGCACAGTTTCAAACATGATACAGGAAAATTCAATAACAGCAACTCAGCATGTTTAATATATTTTTTGTATTCAAAAGATGCTTTACAATTAAATGAGGTGGTGAAAAAAATTAAATAGAAAGCAACAGTTAGTTGCCCTTAGGAACAAAAAATAGTTTCACTTTTAAACTGGTGCTCTGAGGTCCCATTTTCCAGAGTGGATTTAACACTGGCTGTGGCAATCAGTAAGCTGTGAAAAGGACTAGTTGCGAAGAAAATTGACTTTAAACTAATTGATCTATGCTGGAGATTTTTAAAAATGTATATTTAATCCACTCATAACCAGCCAAACAAAGCAAAATGGGGCAGACAAGCACTTTACTACCACAGCTGTTTTACATCACAACTTGCGCTGTTTATTGTGATGTAAGCCCACTGAAAAGAGGACTTACCTTATCCGTTGTATACCTTTAGTGAAAAAACACAATGTTTACTTCCCTCATCACTTCACTCAGGCTGGTGTAAACAACTGTTTTTTTATTTTTGTTTTTTTGTTATACACACATATATATTATACCTTTGGGCTAAAAGCTGAGTTTTGTCAGTCTAAATCTGAGATATTACCAAAAACAAATTTGGAAAAAAAAAAAAAGCAATAAAAGCCATGATCATGACTAGGATTAGTCCAGGAGGAAAAAAAAAAAACTGTTTCCAAAGTGACCAGCAACCACTTGTATCCAGTTGCTCTGTATTTGTGGGATTAATTTGTTTCAAAAAGTAATGAAAAACAAATTCAGAAGTTCAATTACTTATCACCAATATCCCATTATTGCTTGTAAACAATAAGAAGGTAATTAGGAACAGTGAAAAAAATGTTTAATAAAGAACATCTCATGCCAGAAAAGAGAACAAAGTTCTAAAATACAGCCTTCTTTTAGATACTATCAAATACTGTCAGTTAAACAAAATAAAAATGCATTATTACCTGATGCCCAATGGTATAATAAATAAGCAGTGACTGCAATCTTTAGCAAAAGGACCAAATTAAAGACAGGTTATAAAAATGACTTCCTAGGTGCAATATCACTTTCATAACGTCTCAATCAGGGATTTACTGGTAAAAAGAAATGGTCCAATGAAAGAATTGAAAACAAATGTCAAAGTAATTTTACTTTTTTTTTGATTTGATATCTTTCTATTTGTCAGAATTTGCTTTGTAAGAATCAAGAAAATTTTGGTATAAATTCATTACCTCTGTAAACCCCTGTTATAAACTCTGCATTAGTACTTTTGCCTTCTAAGGCAGTCAAAGTTTGTTTTAATTTATTTATAGATTGCAGTAGCAAGTGCTAGTGCCCATTATATTGTGGGGAAATCAAGTTTTTACAGTATTAGAATTTAATGTTTTAACTGATTTTTTTTTTTTGGCAGTTCTAACACAAACAGATATATCCCTTCTTAACATTACCCTTTAATGAACAAGGATCAGACAAGTTGCATAAGGAAAGGAAAGGAAAATGAAAAAGACCAAGCAGAAGGATGAAGGCTACAACAGAGAAATTAAGCCTAACATATTGGTGCACTGATGACAAAAGGAGTAATTCAGTCTGAAAATAAAAAATTACCACTGCTAAGTTTACCATCACCACAACAAGTCCAGGATCATAATGCTGTAAAAAAGAAACACCATTTGTTAGGCAGAAACCATTAGGGTAGGAAACAGGCCTTCTAGCAGGCAGACAGGATGGGGTAAAGTAACAATTGGGCTTTGTCCCTCCCCCAATTTCAGCTGGGGACACGGGAAGGACACTTTGTGCTACAGCGGTTGTTTTCATACTGGTTGGGTCAGGGTGTGAGATTTTTGTACGGCTACTTGAGAACATGAACAACCTCCTCTAAAATAATGCAGGGGGAGGGGAGAAGGTGAGAGAAAGTGAAAAAACTAGCTCTACCTTCCGATATCTCATTTAACTACTCATTCCGGTAAATCAGTACTCAGGGCCCAAGGTGGGACTTTTTCCTTAAAGAAATAACAGCAAAGACAGATCAACTGGACAGTGATCATCAAGTCATCTGCTACACTAAAAGAACTCTAAGAGGATTTGGGGGGTGGAGGGGTTCATCAAGACCTTATTGAAAATATATAATAAGTAAAAGGTCTGGAAAATAACCTTAGATCTTCAGTGCTTGGAAAACTTATGTGCATTTGAGTTCTGTTATGAACGAATAAAACTCTTGAAGGAGCTTTCCTTAGAACTTTTGTTTCCTTTTAATGAAGTTTTCCCAAGTCCGCCAACATCTCTCTTTCTGCACACAACAAAGCCAAGCTTTGAAGAACACCAGTAACTCCAGAGAAAGTGGCATCAAAAGGGCTGTCACATTTACAATTAGTCCACTCAGAGGTAACTCACAGAAAACAAACAGTCTGGCTTTAAAAACAATCTGAAGGCAACATTACTGCCTGGGCCAAATAGTAATTTCTTTCATTAGAGGCTCCTGACCAAGGAAAAATCTCACTGGGAAAAGACACTGAACAATACATACAGGAAGAGGTTGCAGCATTTAAAAAAAGAAAAAAATCCCCTTAATTTATTCATTTGTGATCAATGATAAATCCTATCATAGAGCACATCACTGTGGAACATCTGAATAACAACCTATAGTTATGACTTTTCAAAGGGTAGGTAGCAACAGAATGTTTGCTATTATAATATTCTCTAGAAAACTCAACTTCTTTTTAAAACACATTGAATGAAATCCAGGTTCCCTATTTCTTGGTTTCTCTTAACAGGGACAAATATTTCTTAAAATCCATTAAAATAAGAACATTTTGTTGTTTATTTCATTTCAAAGGAGGCAACTTCAACCATAACACTTACTTTCCTTAAAAGAAACTGTCCTCTTCAGCCAAAGATCTATATATAGATACTATGACTGTGATCTAGCCAACTGGACAAGGGGGGAAAAAGGAAAGAAAACATACCACATCTAGAATGTTTCAATACCAATGTATTCATGTGATCGGGGAAAAAAATTGATACTCATATTTTCTAAATCAAAACTGTAAATCTATATACAAATATCGAATCATTATGTTGTACACCTGAAACTAAAATAATATTGTATGTCATTTGTACCTCAATTAAAAAACTTTTTTAAGGGCTTCCCTGGTGGCATAGTGGTTAATACGCCTGCCAACGCAGGGGAGACGGGTTCGAGCCCTGGTCCGGGAAGATCCCACATGCCGCAGAGCAACCAAGCCCGTGCACCACAGCTACTGAGCCTGCGCGCTCTAGAGCCTGCGAGCCACAACTAAACTACTGAAGCCCACGTGCCTAGAGCCTGTGCTCTGCAATAAGAGAAGCCACCGCAATGAGAAGCCCGTGCACTGCAACGAAGAGTAGCCCCCGCTCTCAACAACTAGGGAAAGCCTGCGCACAGCAATGAAGACCCAACGCAGCCCCCCAAAATCAATTAATTAATTTAAAAAAATTTTTTAAAGAGATGGGAAAAACTTTAAATGATGTTTCATTAACCAAACAGTATTGTACATTCTATATTTTAGAAGGTAGGGTTACTTCTACAATGACAAACATGCTAAAATGTTCACATATTCATCTCTTGCTAAAATGTGATGGTATTATGACTTATCATAACTGAAGAGAGAATAAAGCTAAATACCAAAATCCACTGATTGCTTATAGCCACACAGTTTCTGAGAATAATCCCTCACATTAATCAGTTTTGATTTTGAAACACTTACGGACATACCAATCTACAAAACTGGCCCAAAGAACTGGACTGTGAAGAAATAATTTTTTTTTCTACAAACACTATTTTTTTATTTTATTTTTAAAATTTATTTATTTATTTTTGGCTGTGTTGGGTCTTCGTTTCTGTGTGAGGGCTTTCTCTAGTTGCGCCAAGCAGGGGCCACTCTTCATCGCGGTGCGCGGGCCTTTCACCGTCGCGGCCTCTCCTGTTGCGGGGCACAGGCTCCAGATGTGCAGGCTCAGTAGTTGTGGCTCATGGGCCCTGCTGCTCCGCGGCATGTGGGATCTTCCCAGACCAGGGCTCAAACCCGTGTCCCCTGCATTGGCAGGCAGACTCTCAACCACTGCCACCAGGGAAGCCCTAGTTTTAAATTTTTTTTAAGATTTTTTTTTGATGTGGACCATTTTTAAAGTCTTTATTGAATTTGTTACAATACTGCTTCTGTTTTATGTTTTTTGGCCGTGAGGCATGTGGGATCTTAGCTCCCCCACCAGGGATTGAACCCGCACCCTGTGCAGTGGAAGGTGAAGTCTTAACCACTGGACCACCAGGGAAGGCCCACAAACACTATTTTTAAACAAACTAACTCCAGGAATAGAACAACTGGGAAGAAAATATTAAAGGACAACCATAATCTGGTAATCAGCACACTTCAGAAACAAGACACGCGACTTCTCCACAGAAATAAATTAGAAATGAAGAAGCTTCTGAAGTGATTAAAACACTAGTTGGATATCAACAGAGGTAAGAACACCCAATTTACCTCAGCTGCCTTTTCCTTTACTGAGATTCACTCAACAGCACTTAC